TTTTCAAGACTTACTTAATGCAATTGAGTCTAAAAAGCAACACAACTAGACAAAATCTAATTAATATGTTTACTTAAATAAAAAGAAAATAAAAGTAAAGCAAATTACTTACTGTCTTAATAATCAATCTAAAAAATTAAATATCCATTCATTCAATTGTTAATTAATTAATAGCGCTAATTTTAGAATATGACAAATTTTAAGCAGCATCAAATTGTTTTGGTTAAAATAGAGAAGCAAACAAATTATTTTAACTTACTAAAGAAATATAAATTAAAATTTAATATTTTTTTTAAAGAGTGAATTATAAATGATTTTAATGAACTCATATTTCAACTAAAAAAAATCAATGAACTCAAATTTCAACAAAAAAAAAATAAACATAAAATTAAAATAAATTCCTAAAAATATTCTTTGAAAAGTCAGAAATTTTAACAAGTAACTAAAATATTTTGTACAATCAAGAAATGAGAAACAAGAATTTTATTTCAAAATGATAATTATGTTTACATTTTTGTAATTATTTAGATTCTTAATGATTAGTGATTGTTACAGAGATTTTAATTAATATTTTTCAAACAAGTCCTAATAATCTGATAAATCCTCACCAATTTGTATTATTTTACTCCAGATATTAATTAAAGGCAAAGCAAAGGTAATGAATAATCTTACATATTTATCATTCCAATTATAAAAAACTAAAAAAGTATTCAAGTAAATAAATAGACTCTAATTTCATTCAAAAATGTTTAGCATGAGCTTATTAATTAATAAATTATTATTGTATCATTAATAATCAAAATTGTTGAATTTTTTTGTAAGAAAATAAGGATAAATTTATCTTATTTCAATAAAATTTTTTATTAAAATATTTTCTAAGTTAAAAATTTTTTAAGGCTTGAGCTTTCCTCGAGAAGTTATTTCTTTTGGGAATTTTATATTTAAAAATTTTAAAGATTCCTATACCAAATAAACAAATAGCAAGCAATCATTGATATGATAATAAATAATTTAGAAGCCAAATACATCTAGATAAGAAACGGAAGACTTTCAGATATCTCAATCAATAATAAAGCAGTGAATTTTACTTAGAATGATCAAATTAGAAAAAGGAAATTATTAATTAAAGCAATGACACCAAACTATTTATATAAAGAAGATATGAAATATAATTATTCCGAATGTATTTTATATTCCATTTATACTTGTAAGCTATAAATAAATTTAGAATATATCTAGAATAAAATTATAGTTTTTTTTATACATTATTTTTAATTAAATTATGTTTAGTCCTAAATATTATTAAAATCCTCACTATTACTATTTTCTAAGTATTTATCTAGTAGGAAGAAATATTTAGTTGAATAATAATTATTATAGCTAAACGCCTAATTAAAATCTAGTGGTATGGCAACCTCTATCTAGATATTAATTAGCCTAAGTTTTTAAATAAAAAATAATCTTTTTAAATAATTTTATAATTTTTTTATTATTTGATTGAATGAAAAATTATCATATTTG